AAAAAAAGTGAAGGTAGGAAAGTATACTCTCTTAGACTTAACTTGTACATAAGTAATAGAGTGGTAACCATGACGAGATCTGGCATTGCAAATTTAATGTGTATAAGTAACAACTGACCAGAACATGGTCCACAACTTCCTCTCATGGTGGAAGCAGTCCACGTATATGATGCAGGCACAGTATTTCTTTCTTTGACATGATTCAGACAGCAGGTAAAGAGGAAATGGGAGTCTAAAGAGAAGGCTCAACTCTTTAAGAGTGCTTGCTGTTTTTCCAAAGAACCCAAGTTCAGTTCTTAGCTCTCACATCCTGTGGTTCACAATTGTCTGCTCTATGAAATCCAATGCTATCTTTCGTCTTCTGTGGGTACCCCACATGTGTACACTAACATATACACACAAATAGACATAAACCTTTCTGTTGTTAGTTTATATGTGGGGGCTGGGGAGCCAGGAGATGCATGTCCAACTATGTATAAGGAAGTCAGAAGATACCTTGTAGGAATTGGTTCTTTCCTTTCACTATGTGGGTCCTGGATATTCAGCTAAAGGAATCAGGCTTGACAATGGCATATTTATCATCTAAATCATCTTGCTAGCCATAATGAAATAATTTTACAAGAGAAATTTTGGTCGTTATGAATGATATAGTTTTCAACTATTGCTTTTATTTATTTTCTCCAACTTTATTGAGGCATATATGACAAAAATTCTATATATTTAATGTATACAATGTGATAGATTGGTATATTTATAGACTATACAATGAAGCTTTATATATATGTATATATAATTAATATATTTTATTATATAAATATATAATCTTTCATATATTTATTTTCTGTATGCATAGAGTCTACTGCCTCGACATATTTTCAACTTTATTAACTATAATCCTCAGGACCTATTGTTTTTAGGATATTGACATTTTTTTGTGTTTTATGATTTAGATGTTATGTTTTCATGTTTCCTGTATGCTAAAAGGAAATGATAGACTTAGAATATGAGTCATGATAAACTAGCTTCCTAGATTATTTTAATTTTCTGTCTTCATTTGTCCTGTGAAGTGTTAAGAACTAAAGGGAATGCTGTAGCATTTACCGTTGCTGTTGTAATTAGGTAGGCTTCTCCCTTCTAACAAACACTAAATGCTTTCGTATAAGGTTACTTGTTTCATAAATGCTCAAGCTGCTGTCTTAATTATGGATTATCAAGCTAATCTGTTGATCCTCTTTAATGCCTTTTCCTTGAATTGAGCTTTGTCTGATGTTTCTCTTAGAACTTTTGGGCTCTACTAATCTGCATTTGCCTGGAAGCCATATTTTCTCTTTCAACCTTTTGGCATCACTTTGCTTTAAATCTGCTATGTCACAGTGTTTACTACATTCTAAACTGGTAAGAATTGTAAGCATTATCACCAGTTGAAAAAAGTTATATATATATACACAGAACAAAAGATAGACTTAGAAAAAT